GATCACTTCAGTGTCGTATTTTCTATACTAAAATTGTAATCGCGTCTTTTCTTGCATTGAATCTGAACTGACCGTGTATGTTGCTCGTTTATTAGAGTTAGCTGGGACTTCGTCAAAGTCTGTAAGCTCTGCAGAAAAGACGACAACTACTTGCAGTGAAAATCGTGAGTTTGAGTTTGACCAGTAAACATTTCAATATATTGTTAAAAAAAATCATTTTTTGGAAGTGCGAGTTGTTTCTGACTAATATTCGTTAAGTGTAATTGGATTTTGGTGATGGGTTATATATTTTTTCTATTTATAATATTCTACTTATTGTCAGCAATCCTGTTATTTAGCATACACATTTGCTGGACGGAATGAAAATCGTATGAAGAATTTCGGTATCTTCACTAATGCCGACCTATAACGAGCAACAAATACTGGATAAAGTATGCAAAGTCACGCAACAGAAACAAATCAAATACTATGATTTTATTCCTTTTTTCGATTTTCAATATGAAAAAATCATTTTCAATTGTCAGCCCTCCCACTTTTCACCTTGCTCCGCGGTCCCTGTATTCTAGAACTAAATCGTAGTTAGACTTGAGACCAGTTTTGCGTAGAAAACAAATCTGTATCATGAAAATGATTTCAGTTGCCTTATGGATGAGTGCTAAAAGTTTCAAATACGCTTTGCCTGTACACAAACGCTGTTTTATTTTTCTTTTCGTTCTTTTTCTTCCTCTTTCTTTTCCCCCTTACGCTGGCAGTCAATAAATCCCCCCGGGTTTTTATTTTTTATCTCGCGCGCTCGACTGACTTTGAAGAAAATAGCGGGTCTGTGAACAGGCTATGAACAGTCTTATCTTTTGTCTACTGGGTTAAAACCCACAGCGAGAGGTCGAAACATCGCACTCTATGTTAGTAATCAAAAGCGGCGGATCATTTCATTCAGTGCAGGTGTTAAGATGCAAAAAAATTTTTTAAATTGTCGACTTGCACATAAGAAGCTTTATTTGTGAGAACGAAAGTGATTTTAATCAAACTTTTCACATACAGGATTCTTTTTTTACATCATTTCCATCATAAATTATGAAAAGTATTACAATTTTTAAAATTTTCAAATTAATCACCATAAATATTTGTATACCCTCCACGCAGGGTGTGTATAAGAAAGAATTCTTCTTTTACGATAATTCATCATTTGACTCAGCGATAAGCCCCAAGTTGACTCCCACGACGCCACTAGGAGCTGCCTCGTGTGTTGAATTGTTTCGCTATAGTCGATCGTCATTATTCTGGAGAACCCGTCCTCGTCGCTGTCTGTCGACAGCTGGAGACGTTTTTCCGACTTTCCCCGAGGAGCCGACGATGGACTGGTCGTTCGGTTGTTTGGAGTCTCACTCGCCTGGGTCAACTACCTTGTTGAAAACTGACTTTTTATTAGAGAAAAGGTTCGACAAACTAAGCTTTGATTCTGGAGAGGAAGACTTAATCTCCAGTCGTTTGGCTGGTAAAACGAGTATAGCGCGTCCGACAGAATGGTCGCTGATGGGTACCCGGAGAATCCCCATGTCGCTCTGTGTTTCGCCTTCAGGGGACGCGGAAATTTCTTTCTCAGGAGCCAAATCTGCCTTGCTGAGCTTAAATTGCTGGGGTGAAAGAAACCTCTTCATTCGTTGGGCAAGTTTCTTTGTGGATTCTTTTTCACCTATCCCGACAAAACGAGAATTCGCAGGAGAAGAAGCATTCATATGGGATGCCTCTTTGAATACTTCAGCTTTAGCATCGTCTTTAATGCCTTCTTGATTCAAAACAGGCTTGTCGGACTGTCGAGGGATTTTGGAGAGGGCCGCATTTTCAAATGTCGTCTTCAAAGACTGCGTTTTCAATAAGTCGGCGTTCTTTAACCATGGCTGACTGGGTGGCGGCCTCTGTTGTTAAGTGACTTGCTGAGGTTTGGCCACTGGAAGTGGTAGTTGGTCTTGTCTTGGGATTAGCTTGTGAAGTGGGCAAAGGCGTTTTTAAGGGGACCTCGGAATGATGCCAGGTCCCGGCTCAGAGCCTGAAAACGGACCGGAAGGGCCTGAAGCTAGGAGATAATGCGGCGGAGGACAAAACTTGACTCTGAATGCAATAAAATGTGTCAAAAAATCCAATATTTCTTGTTCATCGAAGTGTTCTAAACATTCAAGTAGAAGTTCGCGAAGTCCTTTCTTTGCTCAGGCGTGAATGCCTCATCTTCCATAACTCCTGTACAAGAAAGTGCACAGAATGTAACCTATTTTTCACAAAAACTTGTTTGCTGACCTGCTCTACCTGCTATCACATGTATACAACATTTTATAGGCTACTATGTAAAACAACTCAGAAAAAACTCATAAAATTGAGGCGTGAAAGTGTTTTATTGAATAGCTTTGTTAAAATTCATCAAAATGTACTAAGAGATTTTAAAAAAACCTTTCAAAGTCTTATTTGAAAAATGATATAACCCACAAGATTTTGTGTAAAAAATAACAAATAATTGGTCATTTTTGAACGGTCATTGATGCATCTCGCTACCATATCAGAGATGCATGCACAGTTATTGGCAATGCTTTGTAACACAAAAGCTAACGTGCCCTCCCAAATCCGCCCCCCCCCCCCCCCCCCCCCCCCCCCCCCCTCCCAAACACAAAAAAAAAAAAAAAACACACTTTTATTAAACAAGCTTCAATCAGAAAAAACAAACAAAAACACAAAAAAACCAAAAGCAAAAATAAAAACAAAAAAAACACAACAAAGAGCACATTGAGCTTTGCTCGCCCACAGACACAACGCGCCACCAACTTTTTTCCCTCAACAACAAAAAATAAGAAACAAAAAAAGAAGAGAAAAAAAAAAAAACACAGGTGTCCTTGTTATCAGGCTCCTTTAAGGGAAAACCATTAACTTCACACGCACAAAGCGCATACTTCAAAGAAAAAAAGAAACAACCGTGGGTGTGATATCTGTGTGCCTTTCCCACCCGGTCATCTTAAAATGGTCTCTCATTCTACAGGTAGTGAAAAATGAACAAAAGACTAAAATGTCCTTCTGTGTTGTTTTTGTACAAGACGTACAAGCTTCATGTATACCAAATATTTCGGTTCAACCTTATTCCATGCTTGAAAATTTGTATCACGCTTAGGATTAATGGTGCCTGATGTCCCCCCTCCCCCCCGTGAAATTTTGGAAATCAATTAAGTTAGCAATAATAATAACAACAAAAGTAATGAGGAGGAGAAGGAGGAGGATAACACTCTCAATACTGTAGCCTGGTTTAAGTGTTCTTCGTGATTTCAAAAATTTCCCTCATTTGACTCTGGCGGGCAACCCTTCTTTAACAATGATGTTTGAAGAATTTGATCGTTTATCGGGAATGACGTTTGCAGCGGTCTTTTATGGTAAGAAAACCGTTTTCGTCCCACGGAGTAAATCAACACCAGAGCCACGCTGTAGACAAATGTTTTTAATTTAAGATACTTAATACACATAGATAGTCCTAACAAAGGACACGAATATGAGAAACGCTCTACTACTCTTCTATTCTGAGGTCGCATAAACGCCCAAAAATACAGTCAAGGCTTTTTTTAAAAAAATAATAGCGAAAAACATTTTGCTCAACGTTTCGATATCGCAACAATAACAAAATAAAAAATATTGCCAATATTATTTTGTAACTTGAAAATGTTGTCGGGGCGACATCGAAACGTCACCCTCTATTTTTAGCTTTACAATCAGCAACTTATTTACATTGGCGTTTTTACAACCGATCTTAAAAATCCCCGCAGATAATATGTGACCCCAGGTGACCGTGATACGGAGCGTGGACAATCTGAAATTTCCTTATCTTGCCAGAACAGATGTTTATCTTCACCTTTCGTACGGGATATTTCCCATCGCAAAAAAATACTAGGCTGAGGAAGTAATGTACTTCATTAGCAAAACATACCAAAAGCAAAAAATGTATTGCACGTCGATAATACATACATGTTAGGTGCATAACAATGCCTTCCATTTATACTTTTTCGATTCATGCTTTTTATATCTTCTAAGGGAAGCGTATGCATAGATTTATAAAGAGCGCTGGACAGAGTGATTAGCTGTTGCAAGGAAGCCATACCGATTCATATCAAAATCGTTCGTCAATTACTGATCATCGGTCTTCAGTGTTTATACAGTTCATTCGTCTCTATCCGTCCATGTAGGGGGAATTCTCATACCACCAGCCAATCAAAGCTCCAAAGAGATGCCCCAAACCTGCTCCTATTGCACCGCCCACCAAGCTCGCTATCGGGGCAGCTGCTGGGCATACCGCTGTGCCGATCCATGAGCCGGTGATTCCAAAGACCAAACGACAAGCTGCCTTGGCAACAATGTCAGTGAACTTGACGTCAAACTCTTCCGGAGTCTTACAATGAGTGCATGCTTTGTAGTTCTCATAACCGGCTAGGCCAGCTTCCATGAGGATTGCTAACCCATACCCCACATAGAGAGTATTTTTACCAATGAAAGCGGCCACCTCGTCGGAAACATTAGCCAGGAGTTTGATAAGTAGAGGTAGAACTTTCTCTTTAGTTTTATTTCTACCAAAGTCATACAGGCCTGTGAAAGCAGAATAGGCGACTTCTCGCGCTGTAAGGTACCATTGTTCTATTTGAAGGCTCACCTTGAGCCCACACATGCTCCAAGTTACGAAATGCTCACAGCTGTTCTTTAGAAAATCGTACCAGTTTTCACCCAGCCTGGTGAAAGCTCTCTTGATCACTTCCTCCACAGAAAAACGTTTTAATTGAGCTGGCCAGATGACCTTTTTTACCTGTAAGCGTATGAAAAACGTTAAATATACAGTGTCGGAATAATTCTTGAACTGCGGAGTCAAGAATAAGATATTATTTAAAATCTCTTTAGTAATTCGAATTTAATCCTTAAGTTTTTATTGCGACTCTTTTCAGACTGCACTCTAGCTTTGTCTCCAAAACATTATGTGTTTTGATTCGTTCTTCGACCAGTTCTGCGTGAAAAAAGGACGATTTCAAAGATTTTGTCAACCCGGAAGTAGCATTAACATAACGGAAAGCCAAGTGAAAATCGAAATTGAAACAAATTCAAGCCTGAAATGGACATTGAAAATTGTAATTCCGATCTTGTCGTGCTCGCTGTATTTGTTTCTCAGTCGTTATCAATTCGAGTACACGATTTATGGTGCGATACACTAATAAAGTAGTTTTAATTTTAGCCGTCGAAATGTTTTCATGAACGGTTCATCGAACGAAACTTCAGCCTTCAGTTTCAGTGTTCGTTGTCAAAATACCATTTAGTTTATTTATCTAATAAACACTTTGATTAGGTCAAAACACCACAAAGTAAGCGACTTGCGACTTAGAAAATCAAGTGATACAGATTTATCTTCATTTGTTTCTTCAGAAGGGGCCGGAGATTGATCTGACTCTTTAAACACCGCAAAAATGACGAAACGATCTTTAACTTCGCAAGTAACATCGTGGGAGGTAAAGATTTTTGCATCAAGGTTGTTTCTTTAATACAAACCTGCTGTTTCAGAAGTTCCTCGAATGAAAACATTGTTTCTTTTACTTCGGCCTTGATTCCAACATCTTTAAACGAGATGCTTCTTAGACCTCTACTGGCACCCAAAGCTGGGGCAGTGTAGTGAATTACCAAAACATGGTTATCTCCGCTGAAGGTACACAGCATGTGATGATCATAATGCAGGAGATAATAGTTTCTCTCAAAAACGAGATGATCACCGGCTTTAATGCTGTCTGAATTTGTGATAGGGACTTTGTCAAAGTCATCTCTGTATCTTTCTATGAATTCTTGCCGCTTTGCCATCGAACGCCGTTCGTACTTCTGCCATTTCTCGCGAGAAGGAGCTGATAGAGCGGGCAGCATTTTGAAAGCGTCTGTCTAAATAGTTACTTTTCACCGATAATTATATGCTTTTAAAGGGATTTTCCCGAAATAAAAGTGAGTGTTTTGTATTAATAGTGTTTGGGATTTCCCCATTCTCACTCTTGCAGTCGACAACTTGTTTGACTTGTGATTGTCATCTTGTCAACAACAACAACAACAACAACAAATTTTATTGAAAATCGGAAAATAACTAATTACATTACTTTCCCACCCGCAAATAGCTTATGAACTAATCGAGGCGGGGGGAGCTGAACACAATTTACAAAACAAGATTTATATATAGATGGACTAACAACTTGTGATCTTGGAATTTTATCAATGTGGCGTTGAGCGTTTTATAGTGTCTGCTTTGCCTTCGGCCCTGTTTCAACATCTTTTCATCTTTTCTCTACAAAGGACTCGATTCGTCGCTGACCGCAAAAAATTTACCCGACTAAACAAAAATTCAAAGAAAGACTATCGTCAACTCGTAGGAACGTTTGCCAAGGGCACCCATCGAGAATAGAGCGGAATATAGTTCAAAACCACTTAAACATGACATTGTTGAAAGTATTTTAGTATTTAAACGGTAGATATAGGCATATTTTTATCCCCTAAAAATTTTTCATCTGTTCGGATTTCCTAGCTGAAGGTCTAGTGATCCGAAAATTATAGGGATCAAAACTTACCTTTTCGAAAATTTCAGCCAGAATAAAGGCTCACGAAAATTCTAGGTGACCTTTTTAGGGAAAAATCCGTTAAAAATAAGCAATTATACCATTTTTTAGATGTTCGAAAATTCTAGGAGAGTTAGGCAAGCAAGACATTTTTTAACAAATGTTCCGAAAATTCTAGACCTCAAATCGTCTTCCGAACAGATATTTTCCGAAATTTGACGTTGAGTGCCCCTGACGTTGTTTAGAAAATAAACAAATGGTTATCAACCCTGGTTTTCCCACAGTAAATTGTAGGAAATGGTAGAAATTCAGATCGTTTATCCATCTGGAAACACAATACTTTTCGTTCGGTTTATTGCACTTTATTAAATAACAGTTATTTAGGTTATTTATAGAAAAAACAACATGCATAACTTTGGGGAAAAGTCTTTAATTTACGCCTTTTCAATGGAACTTCCGCCGGCAAACGCCGTTTTTAAACCGAGCCGCATTAACCGAGCTATTGACAGTTAAAAAAAAACAAACAAACAAAAAATTTAAACGCATTTCATGGCAATGAAAGAACATACGCTTTACAAAGCCGATACAAATCGTCTGCGAAGGAGGACGCAAAACAGATTTTTTGAGTCGAAGAGCAAATGCTCATCTTCTCCGAAGTTTAACGCCTGGAGTAGGCAAAGGCTCTTTAGGGTCTCTTGAAATCTAGACTGTTCACAGTCCCCTATTTTTGCGTGAGATCGTCGAGATATAGCGCGTCTTACCATAAATGGTAGCCTGCGAACAGCAGACTTATTTCCGGTCGTAGCTTCTCTGACTTTCATTTTTCGTACGGGGAATCCGAGGGGGCGAGCATCGGGAAGGCGTCGTGATTATACCTAGCCTCCCTAAGTAGTTTTGACAGTCATGCAAGATGGCAGCCCGTAACGCAAACCGCTCGATCCCGACAACCTTACGGAAAAATAAGGGACTGTGAACAGTCTACTTGAAATCCAATCCCCAAGTTAACCATCGTACTTATCTGAAAGACTCCTGGGATAACTCACCGTTTCTGGGAACGGAGTCATCTTTCTAGGTTGTGACAATAGGTTTTGCCCTTCCAAGCACAAATCTGGGGGATAAAGCGTTAAGGGAATTGGAGCGACTTCGGTGTGTGACCAACAGGGGAGAAAACTAACTCTGCAACTTGCTTGGCTAGCAGGAAAGAAACTCGTCACTGTTACACGGTACATTTTACAAAGACAAAAAGTGAACAGTTTAGTGTTATCGAGGTACCCCCATTCAGACCCTCCTTCAAGACTGGACGAGGACGACTTGACGGGTAAGACCTTTAAGAAAATAACTCTGAGTCTGAGCAGCGAACGGTGCCCCCTCAGCAAAGAATTTGATTCCACCGAACTTCGGCGAGCGAGTACATCAGTTGGAAACGATATATCTTCGCATTCTCGAGTTCGGACCCGATTAATTACGAAGTGTGTCAACTACGAGTGAGCGAGTGACTCATTTGCATATCTCTGTCCCTTCAGTAACTGGTGGTACGCTCGCGCGTACCCACGAGTTAAAGACTACGTTCTCAGTAAGACGTCCAGAAAAAAAACAATTTGGAGTATTGATAAGATAAAACATCCAGTTCGTAAATACATGGATAAAAGTAAGCGAGAAACGTGGCTCAAGAAGAGCAAGAGTTTTCTTCAAAACTGACATGGAAGACTAACATAACTATTCCTCTCTTGTTACTTAATTTTTATTTGTTGCAAGAAGACAGAAGGATAAAAAAATTGACCTCGCATATTGACTGTAAAAAAACTGACAGCTGAAAGGCTTAATCGTCTTGACGTTAATACCCGGGCGGTACTACTGAGAATTCTTGGTGGGGTGTGCCGCACCCGGTTCTCCAAATCCTGACCCTATTTCAGACCAAAAAATGTAATTTTCCACACCCGTTTTCAGACCAGACCTCTAAAATCCATACCCGTTTCAGACCTGGCCTTTTGAAAGAAATTATGTTATCATTACTTGGATTAGAGAGCAAACAAAAAAATTCTTCGAATCCATTTCAAATTCGCATATTTCTTTCTTTTTTTCCTTACTCATTTGGATTTGAAACGATAAATACGTTTATACACTCCCGTAGTTCCCTCAAAAATCATACCTGATTCTAGACAAAAATGGGCAAAGTGTACACTCGTTTTCAGACCAAAACGGCGCAAAAACCCTACCCGATGGGGCGACAGAAACTTATATAGCTTATATAAGGGAGGACCCCCGGGTGTTAATATTACCATATCCAGTATTGACTTCAGTAGTTCTAGCCAAACGATTCTGATCGCCTCTATAAAGTTAAAATGTATTCAAGAACGTTAAAAGGAGGAAAATTTACATACTGCCCAGGCCTATGCAGATTGGTGTTTGTCCTACAAACCCGTTTCCAACAACAGGGTAGGTGTTCATACTAACAGATGTTAAATCTATAAATGATTGAATTAGTTTGTAATATTTTGGGACCCCAAAAAGCCACTGTATTGACTTAATAAACCAGAAAACATACAAATTTATTCCCTTTCGATTATTCATTTGAATTTTTGCGGTACTAGAGCAGTATAATGTTAGAGAATGTGTAACTTAAGCGTGGATCTAATTGATCTTATTCTACAATAGATTATCACTGAAAGATTGTTGCAAATCACTTTGTCACCAGTGGAATGCAACATTTGTACATAAATGAGAAATAGTGGTGATCACTGGTAGGCTCAATCGACCAATTTCAATATATTAAAATTATACTTAGCTCCAAGGCTTGGGGGAATAAAACAAAAGAAATGTAGTATTCATTGAATTTAAGAGTCTCTCTTTGGAAAAGATCAAAGACCAGACTCGAAATAAAGGTGGAAATGGAGCCTTAGACAATAAATAGCTATAATTTTTAAAAAAATAATCATATAACCTATTGTTAAATGGTATTATCATGTGTTATAAAAATCCATACTTAACTAGAAGATTCAGGAACTGTGACGTTATCAGTGGTCTTTTATAGTAACAAAAATGTTTTCGTCCCACGGAGTAAATAAATACCAGAGCCACGCTGTAGACAATTTTTTAATTTAAGATCTTTCCATATACTTAGTACACATAGATAGTCGTAACAAAGGACACGAATCAAACGCTCTAATGTAGTACTCTACTCTGAGGTTGCAAAAACACACAAATACAATAAGGGCTTTTAAAAAACAAAATAGCGAAAAACATTTTGCTCAACGTTTCGATATAGCAATAATAACAAAATATGAAATATTGCCAATTTTATTTTGTAACTTCAAAATGTTGTCGGGGCGACATCGAAACGTCATGTAAAACGTTTTCCACAAACCTTTATCATTTTGAAGTGTGTAACTAAATTTAATTCCATTCAAACTAACCTCGAGCGTGTATATAGAAATTACTTACAGTTGAAATATGCAGTCAGTATACTAGAAAAAAATTTCGATTTGCTTTTAACGCAGGGACCGCATGGCAAGTATACGGAAGGTTCACGCTCCATTTTTAGCTTTACAAACAACGTATCAGCTGACTTATTTATATTGGCGTTTTTCAAAAAACCCGGCAGATAATATGTGACTCAGGTGACTGTGATAAAGAGCGTGGACAATCTGAAATTTCTTTATCTTGCCAGGACATGCAGATGTTTAATCTTCACCTTTAGTACGTGGGATATTAATTCCCAGCGCGAGAAAACACTAGACATGAGGAAGTAATGTACGTCATTAACAAAGCATAACCAAAGTGAAAAATGTATAGCTCGTCTATAATACATCCACGTTATGAGCATATTATCACAGAGATGTAAGGCCCCTTAGAGAAGCTAACAGGAACGTTCCAGCTCTCCGCTATCATTTAACTTTAAACATTGCCTTCGATTTATACTTTTTCGATTCAGTCATCATGCTCTTTACATAATTATTATTTCAATTTATATTATGTTTCAAAAGATTAGTGACTAGACTATTTTTTTTTTGAGACACTGCTCGGTGTGGCCCAGATTTCGAAACTGCAATTTGAGCCTTTTTCATATGACTACGTAGCACAGATCACGGACAGCTATGTCAGCTATTGGACGAGCTAGATATATTCTCCTCTACGTTTAATACATTCTTAAATGACCACAGCAATACCTAAGATGAATATTATGACTTGTCGGAAAAGAGAACCCTCTAGGCTACATATATAATTATACAGTATGCTAAGAGGGAGCGCTGGACAGTAGCTGACAGTGATGCTAGGGTTGCCACGAAGCCATACCGGTTGATATCAAAATCGTTCGTCAATGACTGGTCATCGGTCTCAAATACAGGTTACTGTTTCTTCAGATCATTTGTCTCTATCCGTCCATGTAGGGGGAATTCTCATACCACCAGCCAATCAAAGCTCCGAAGAGGTGCCCTAAACCTGCTCCTATTGCACCGCCCACCAAGCTCGCTATGGGGGCAGCTGCTGGGCATACCGCTGTGCCGATACATGAGCCGGTGATTCCACATCCCAGACGACAAGCTGCCTTAGCAACAATGTCAACGAACTTGACTTTAAACTCTTCCGTAGTCTTACAATGAGTGTATGCTTTGTAGATCTCTTGACCTGCTACGCCAGCTTCCATGAGGATTGCTAACCCATATCCCACATAGAGGGCATTTTCATTAATGAAAGCGGCCACCTCGTCGGAAACATTAGCCTGGAGCTTGATAAGTAGAGGTAGAACTTTCTTCGTGGTTATATTTCTACCAAAGTCATAAAGACCTGTGAAAGCAGAATAGGCGACTTCTCGTGCTGTAAGGTACCATTGTTCTACTTGAAGGCTCACCTTAAGCCCACACATGCTCCAAGTTACAAAATGCTCACAGTTGTTCTTTAGAATGTCGTACCAGTTTTCACCCAATCTGGTGAAAGCTCTCTTGATCACTTCCTCCGCGGAAAAGCGTTTTAAGTGGGTTGGCCAGATGATCTTTTTGACCTGTAAGAGTANAGGGTTGCCACGAAGCCATACCGGTTGATATCAAAATCGTTCGTCAATGACTGGTCATCGGTCTCAAATACAGGTTACTGTTTCTTCAGATCATTTGTCTCTATCCGTCCATGTAGGGGGAATTCTCATACCACCAGCCAATCAAAGCTCCGAAGAGGTGCCCTAAACCTGCTCCTATTGCACCGCCCACCAAGCTCGCTATGGGGGCAGCTGCTGGGCATACCGCTGTGCCGATACATGAGCCGGTGATTCCACATCCCAGACGACAAGCTGCCTTAGCAACAATGTCAACGAACTTGACTTTAAACTCTTCCGTAGTCTTACAATGAGTGTATGCTTTGTAGATCTCTTGACCTGCTACGCCAGCTTCCATGAGGATTGCTAACCCATATCCCACATAGAGGGCATTTTCATTAATGAAAGCGGCCACCTCGTCGGAAACATTAGCCTGGAGCTTGATAAGTAGGGGCACAACTACTTTCTCTTTGGTTTTATTTCTAGCAAAGTCATACAACCCTGTGAAAGCAGAATAGGCGACTTCTCGTCCTGTAAGGTACCATTGTTCTACTTGAAGGCTCACCTTAAGCCCACACATGCTCCAAGTTACAAAATGCTCACAGTTGTTCTTTAGAATGTCGTACCAGTTTTCACCCAATCTGGTGAAAGCTCTCTTGATCACTTCCTCCGCGGAAAAGCGTTTTAAGTGGGCTGGCCAGATGATCTTTTTGACCTGTAAGAGTAATATACACACTGTATGCCGGAATTTCTAAGCCTGCTGAGTGGAGAATTTAAAATCTCTACAGAAATTTTAGTTTTATCGTGACTCTTTTAAGACTACACACTATCTTTGTCTCCAAAACATTACGGATTTGGATTCGTTATTCCACCAGTTCTCCCGTAAAAAAAAATAACGATTTTAAAAATTTTGTCGACCTGGAAGTAGCATCAAACATGATAGAACGTGAAACTAAAAATCGAAATTAAAACAAATTTAAGGGAAATCGAGATTGATCAGTGTGATTCCGATCTTTTCATACTCCCCGTTTTGTTCCTCAGTAGTTTAATATCTGATTATTTATCAATTCGAGTATCGATTTATGGTACGATATACCGATGAAGTACCGTAAAATTCCGAAAATAAAACCCTCCGATAAATTTCTCCTCCAAATGCAAGCTCCCGGGGGCTTAGCTTGTACTCGGAAATTGCCCTCAAATTCAAAATAAAACAAAGAGAAATTGACAGTGACACAAAAATTTTTGCATTTGCCAAAGAAGCTCAAGGAACTATTACGTGTGCCAAATGATTGCAGTCAAAAAGTGTCACAGTATATTGATGTTTGCGTAGTTCACTCTTCAGACTTGGCTTGGATTTCTTTGGTTCAATTAAGACAAAGTACTTGCATGGCTGAGTTTTAGAAAGATCTACGTGCTTAAGGCGAGTTTCAGTAAAAACATCCTGCAAATTACTGACATAAATGTCCTTCCAACTATAAACTAATCCAATGGATTTTGAGACGCATATAAGCCTAGCCGACTATAAAACGCAAATTTCCACCCGTATATTAGATAAGGTTTTATTTTCTTTCTTCTACTTTCGCAGCGGGCTGAAAATAATATATATGTATATAGAGAAGAAAAAACTAATTTGTAAAGGAAAGAAACTAAATTAAAAGGAAAAAAACGCAAACCTAATAAGTTAAACAGTACAGCAGTAAAGTGTAGCTTAAGGGAATAAGTATTATGGAAATGACACTAGCATTCACATATCTAAAGAAGTTTGGCCCGTGTTTTTTCAAATTGCGATAAGCGGGTAGATCTAAAATTAAATCTAAAATCAAAAATTCTCTAGTCTTCAGACGCGGGCCGCGGAGATTGGTACACGAACACTGAACACGACCACAAAATGTAAAACAAGATCTCTAACTTCGCGAGTGAAGTAGTAACGCGCGCGCCTAAGATAATTTTGTGTTAAAAGGTTTTGTCTTTAATACGTACCTGTTGTTCCACAAGTTACTCAGATGAAAACATTTTTTCTTCTATTTCGCCTTTGACTCCAACATCTTTGAAAGACGTGCATCTCGACGCTCTACTGATACCCCAAGCAGGTCCACTGTAGTGTATTACGATAACATTGTTATCTCCGCTGAAAGTACACAGCATATGATGAACATAATATTTTCTTTCAAGAACGAGATGGTCACCTGCTTGAATGCCGGCTGAATTTTCGACAAGGACTTTCTTAAAGTTTTCTCTGTATCTCTCCATAAATTCTTGCTGCTTTGCCATCGAGCCTTGTTCGTACTTTTGCCATTTTTCACGAGAAGGGACTGAAAACGCAAGCGGCATTTTGAAAGCGTCTACCTAGATGTTTCCTTTTCGCCGATAATATATTTTTTTGAAAGCAAAGCTTATTAGGAATTTTTCCCCCGAAACAAAATTGAATGTTTTGTAATGGTCGCGTCTTGGGAATTCCCTTGCCTTCTGTATTGGTCTTGCAATATAGAGAGGAGACGTCGTTACGTTACGTTGTCATGGTTGCAAAATTTTTGGATGACAACAAACGGAAAATTCACTTAAAGTAAATTCGCACTGTTTCAAACTTCATCGGTCTTATTCAGTTCAAATGTTGGCGAAATTTTCTCGATTGAGTTCGAAAGAACCGTATCTGAGTTTAGAAAAAGAAAAAAGGAACTTTTTGTGTTTCGTTCACCTACTCCGTAAAGCGGGCGCGTGAAAATAGGAAGTTTCATGTCGTAGTTGTGCAAGGATGACTAAAAAATGTACAAAAACGCGTGGTGCCGTAAGGTGACGTCACACTTCTCCTCTCTAATAACAACTAAAATATTATTGGATATTGGAACCTATCAGTGAAGCGTTGAACGTTTATTAGTGTCTGCATTGTCTTTTTCCCGGTCCCACCCATGCCTCTAAGTTTGCGATCACGAAAGGACTCGATTCGTCGCACGCAAAGCGAGTAATTTACCAGACTCAACAAAAAACACGCCATTTTCTAAGCAAGATAGTAGGAACAATTTGGCATATTAATAAGATGAAACATTCTCGGAGTAATACATGGATAAAAGTAAAGTGAGAAACGTGGACTATAAAGCTCCGACTTCCGCGAACAAAGGAGTTTTCTCGGAACTGACATGAAAGACTGACAATACTATTAATTTCTCATCCTCTCTTGTTGCTTAATAAATTTTTTGTAGCAAGAAGCAGGAAGGATGAAAAAAAATGACCTCGCATATTGACTTAAAGAAAACTGAGAGCTGATCAAGAAAGTTTATTTTCTAATATTATTTTGAACGGCTTAATCGTCTTCACGTTAATATTACCTTAACCAGCCGGTATTGACTTCAGTAGTTCTACCAAGAAGATTCTGATTGCCTCATCTCTATCAAGTTAAAATCAACATCAAAGGGAGAAAATTTATATGCTGCCCAAGGCGCCATGCAAATCTTCTTCTACACCGTATGCAGATTGGTGTTTCTCGAGGGGAGGTTTTGGGCCGGTCGATTATGTTGTATTTTTTAAATCTCCGTTGACGATAGCACTCGATAAAATCGATAACATTCGATAGAGAAGGCGGATCGAGAGAGGTTGCGGGAAAACCGCCAGGGAGCTTCTCTCTTCCCGCCTTATTTTGCTCGTTCGCTATTTTAATGCCCGCTCGTTTAGTTGGTTTCTCTGTACAGTGTATTGAATGAGAGCCTGGCACAGGCTATTCTAGAACTAAATCTTAGTTAGACTTGAGACCAGTTTTGCGCAGAAAACAAATCTGTATCCTGAAAATGATTTCAGTTCCCTTATGGATGAGTGCTAAAATTTTCAAATACAGGAAACTCCCGCCCCTCCCATTTTTTTTAGCCTGTACACAGACGCTGTTTTATTTTTCTTTTAGTTCTTTTTCGTTCTTCTGCTTTTCCCCCCTGTGCTGGCGGTCAATAAATCCCCCGCGGTTTTTATTTTTTATCTCGCGCGCTCGACGGACTACTTTGAAGAAAATAGAGGGTCTGTGAACAGGCTATGAACAGTCTAATCTTTTGTCTAACAGCGAGAGGTCGAAACATCGCACTCTATGTTAGTAATCATGAAGAACAGTTTGATCGTTTATCGGGAATGACGTTTGCAGTGGTCTTTTATACTGGTAACAAAAATGTTTTCGTCAACGGAGTAAATCAACACTAGAGCCACGCCGTAGACAAATTTTTTTAATTTAAGATTTTTTTCAGCATACTTAGTACATATAGATAGTCCCAACAGAGGACACGAATATATCGTATCAACGCCCAAATATACAATCAAGGCTTTTATTTTAGAAATGATAGCGAAAAACATTTTGCTCAACGTTTCGCAACAATAACAAAATAAAAATATATTGCCAATATTATTTTGTAACTTGAAAATGTTGTCGGGGCGACATCGAAACGTCATATCACCTTCTAGCTTTAGCTTTACAAACAACGTATCAGCAACTTATCTATATTGGCGTTTTTCTATGTGATATAGAGCGTGGAAGATCTGAAATTTCCTTATCTTGCCAGAACAAATAATTTATCTTCACCTTTAGTAGGAGGGACATTTCCCAACGCGAGAAAATACTAGACTGAGGAAGTAATGTACTTTATTAGCAAAACATAATCGAAGCGAAAAATGTATTGCACGTCGATAATACAATTTTATCGTGTACAACACGTTAGGTGCATATTAGCACAGAGATGTAAGGCCCCAGAGATCGAGAGGCGCCAACAGAAACCTTCTTGCTCTTCGCTTTCATTTAACTTCAAACATTGTCTTAGACTTATACTTTTTCGATTCATGCTTTTTATATTATTATTATTTCAATCTTGTTTTGTTTCAAATCTTTTGAAAAGATTTGTGACTAGGCTTTTTTTTCCAGACACTGCTCGGCTTGGCCCAGATTTTAAAACTGCGATTTAAACCTTTTTGTTATTTGACTACGCAGCACAAATCTGAGATAGCTATGTCAGTTATTAGCTAGCTCGATTTTTTTTCAGCTCGATTTTTTCTCATCTGCCCTTAATACATTCTTAAACACCATCCACGGCATTACCTAAGGTGATACTTGGTGCGAAAGAGAACCCTCTAGGCTACGTACATACACAGTATGCTGAGAGTGCTTCTAAAGGAAGCGTACTGCATATAATAGATTTATAAAGAGCGCTGGACAGAGTGATTAGCCAGGGTTGCCACGAAGCCATGCCGATTGATATCAAAATCGTTCGTCAATGACTGGTCATCGGTCTCATATACAGGTTACTGTTTACCCAGTTCATTTGTCTCTATCCGTCCATGTAGGGGGAATTCTCATACCACCAGCCAATCAAAGCTCCAAAGAGGTGCCCTAAACCTGCTCCTATTGCACCGCCCACCAAGCTCGCTATGGGGGCAGCTGCTGGGCATACCGCTGTGCCAATGCATGAGCCGACGATTCCACAGCCTAAACGAAAAGCTGCCTTGGCAACAATGTCAACGAACTTGACTTTAAACTCTTCCGGAGTCTTGCAATAAGTCCATGATTTGTACATCTCATAACCTGCTAGGCCAGCTTCCATAAGGATTGCTAACCCATATCCCACATAGAGGGCATTTTCATTAATAAAAGCGGCCAGCTCGTCGGAAACATTAGCCTGGAGCTTGATAAGTAGAGGTAGAACTTTGTTCGTGGTTATATTTCTACCAAAGTCATAAAGACCTGTGAAAGCAGAATAGGCGACTTCTCGTGCTGTAAGGTACCATTGTTCTATTTGAAGGCTCACATTCAGCCCACACATGCTCCAAGTTACAAAATGCTCACAGTTGTTCTTTAGAATGTCGTAGCAGTTTTCACCCAACCTTTTGGAAGCTCTTGCGATCACTTCCTCCACCGAAAAACGTTTTAATTGAGCTGGCCAGATGATCTTTTTCACCTGAAAGAGTATGAATGGAATTGCCTTCAATAATTGCGTGCATAATTGAGACGAACTTTCACCCGTAAGAGTATATTTAAATACTCTTTAAAATTTTTGCAAAAATTCTAAATTAATCTTAAAGGTTTTATCTCTTTCAGTTCTTTCAAACTACACACTAGCTTTGTCTCAAAAACATTATGCGTTCTGATTCGTTCCGGTTCTGCATGAAAAGAACGATTTCAAAAATTTTGTTGACCGGAAGTAGCATCAACATGATGAAAGTGGAATTGAAAAAATCGAAAATGAAACAAATTAAAGGAAAATGGAGATTGAAAAACATAATTCCGATCTTTTCATGCTCGCTGATTTTGTTCGTTAGTAGCTTATCAATTCGAGTACACAATTTATGGTACGATAAACCAATAAAGTAGTTGCCATTTTAATTGTTGCCGTCGAAATGTTATTGTGAAGGGTGAGAACGAAACTTTAGTGTCCGTACTCGTTGTCAGAACGCCATTTAGTTTATTTATCTAATAAACACTTTGATTAGGTCAAAACACCACAAAGTAGCAGTTTGTGACTTAGAAAATCAATTAGATGCAGTTTTCTTTTCATTTCTTCTTCAGACCCTGATTCCCCGTTGACGACAACGACTGAAACGATGTTTAACTTCGCAACGGTAGCAACGCGGCAGAGGTATTTTTATGTTAAACAGTTTTACTTTTAATACGAACCTGTTGTTTCACAAGTTCGTCGAACGAAAACATTTTTTCTTCTACTTCTCCCTTGACTCCAACATCTTTGAACGAGATGCTTCTTAGAGCTCTACTGATACCCAAAGCTGGTCCACTGTAGTGTATTACGACTACCTTGTTATCTCCGCTGACTGAGGTACACAGCATGTGATGATCATAATATCTTCTTTCAAGAACAAGATGATCACCAGCCTTTATGGTGTCTGAATTTGTGACAGGGACTTTGTCAAAGTCATCTCTGTATCTTTCTATAAATTCTTGCTGCTTTATCATCGAGCACCGTTCGTACTTTTGCCATTTCTCGCGAGATGGGACTGACAGAGCAGGCGGCATTTTGAAAGCGTCTGCCTAGATGTTTCCTTTCCGCCGATATTCATACCTTTTAAAACAAAGCCTGTTAAAGGGATTCCCCCACCCCGAAATAAAAATGAAAAATGTTTGATAATCTTGGGTTTTTCCCTACTCAACCTGAAACAACTTGTGATTGAATACAATGTACAGTGACGCCGCCTCTATTAAGCGGACCCCCAATTAAGTGGACACCCTCTATTTTAATAGACCTTAAAAGGTCTATTAAGGACATTAAGCGGACACCAAGCCGGGTCTCAAAATTAACATCTTATATTTCCCTTTATAACGAACCTCTATTCAGCTGACACCTCTATTAAGAGGACGCGGACACTAAAATAAATTGTATTTGGCTAATTTCTATTGTTAAAAACCTCTATTGAAATACGTATTGTAGTCGAGATAATTAATACATTTAGCTGTCAAAAAAGTGTAAATTAGACCGATATCCGGCCGTATGATTGTCATCGCGATCAAAGTTCACCGTCAGAAGTCTTGCAAAAAGTACAGCACAGCTTCCTTAACAACATGGAACTTTATCACGGTACAGGTTTAAAATCGTTAACAAACATTGCGCAATTTTTAAAATTGACACTTGGGTAGGTCTCGAAGGTGTCCGCTGTATTGGAATTTTATGTTAAGTGATTTGTGTCTGCTTTGCATGCCTTTTTGTCCTGCCGCTTTAATAAAAGAGTTTTCGTTTACACAGTAATTGTCGAGAATTTAAAGTCCCTTTAAACCTATTTGAGACTAATTTAATTGGATTCAGAGGTCAGAGCTTTGTCATTATGTTGTCATCGCGTCGATTAAGGTATTTCATAATTTGTCATAATTTATGCGTTGTACTCTTCTTGGCACGGTACTCTATTCGGCCCCGTTTCAATATCTTTTCATCTATGCCTTAAGTTTACAAGGGACTCGGAATATGCTGGACTGGAATATGCACATTGAAAAAATAGCCAAGAAAATCGCATCGGGCATTGGAGTAATTAAACGTTGTAGGCCTTTTGTTAATCGAACCACATTCATTGGAGTCCGTTTTCAATGCCTTAGTTCAACCGTACTTTAATTACTGCAGTGAGGTCTGGGGGCATTGTAACAAAAGTCTTTCGAATAAGCTCCAAAAGTTGCAAAACCGGGCTGCCCGTATTCTAACCTTCTCCAGTTATGACACAAGCGCTGATCCTCTTCTTGAGCAACTCAACTGGAAACGGTTGGATACTCAGCGACAAATACAAGTGGCCACCATGGTCTATAAATCTATACATGGTCTTGCGCCCGACTATCTTGGTTCTCTTTTCACTAAATATAATCCACCTTATAATTTAAGGAACTCTGAAAACAAACTAGCTGTTCCATTGCCCCGCACCAATTTCTTGAAAAATAGCTTTAGCTATAATGGTGCGGTTATCTGGAACAGCTTGTCCCCTGAATTGCGGCAAGCAAAATCACTTAATTCTTTTCGAAATGGTTGTCGCGATTTCTTTGACTGAATCGATAAAACGCACACGGCATCTATGTAAAGCAGAATTTCTTTATTTTCTCTATCTTTACTATTTAAATTTTTAGATCATGTTTATATAGATTAAAGTAGATTGTAATTTTTTATTATTATTATTTTATCTGATAGATTTAACGTGTTTAAATAAAAATAAAGTTCAAGTTCAAGTTCAAGATTCGTCGCTGAGCACGAAAAATTTAGCCGACTAAAAACATTAAAAATAATTAGTATTGACCTCGCATATCATGAACTGAGTGATCAAGAAAGTTGATTTTCTTAATAGTTTGAAAGGCTCAATGTCGTCTTGACGTTATGATATTACCTTATCCAGTATTGACTTCAGTTACTCTACCCAGACGAATCTGATCGCCTCTATCATGAGTCAAAACCAACATTAGAAGGGAAAAATTGATAAACTGCCGTATGCAGATTGGTGTTTCTAGGGGGGAGGTTTTGGGCCGGGCGATTCCGTATTTTTAGAACTGCTGTTGACGATAGCAGTCGAACTGATCAACAACATTCGATAGGGAAAGCGGATCGGAAGGATCGAGAAAGGTTGCGCGAAAACCGCTGGTGGGCTTCTCTCTTCCCACCTTATTTTGCTCGTTCGCTATTTCACTGCCCGCTCGTTTATTTCTCTGTACAGTGTATTGACCGAGAGCCTGGCACAGGCTATTCTAGAACTAAATCGTAGTTAGACTCGAGTCCCGTTTTGCGTAGAAAACAAATCTGTGTCCTGAAATGATTTATGGATGAGTGCTAAAATTTTAAGATGCAGCCCGATGGATGGATTTCATCCCTAGGGCTTTTCCCTGATCCCGCCCCTCCATGTTTTTAGGGAAAAGCCCTGGGGACACACGAGGTTGATGAATTTCCCTTCTCTTCTCGAAAAGGTAGCTTATAACACATTATAATTTCAACCTTGTCCTCGAAGCCGAAACCATGCAACAATCTGTCTTCCTGGACGCGAAAGTCCTTCTTAACATGATTTAATCAATGTTTTGATTGTTTGCTATGCCAGTGTTTGCAATGCTACTTGAGAGCCGTACAGTAAGCCATGTTTTACGTCATCGCCTTACCATACTAGGTTACACTGTTCACAGTCCCTATCATATGAAACCAAGATATGTATATATGGCCGCCGTTTAGAGCCGCTCGTTCAGGTAAGCGCTCGATTATGACCATCTTACAAAAAAAATGGAGGACTGGTTATGGGCTCCTGCCTGTGACCCGTCTAATCCTTGGTCTACTGGGTTAAACCAACAGCGAGAGGTCGAAACATCGCAGTCTATGTTAGAGTGGTTTTCGTTTGAGTGTCGTAAAACCAAAACCAAAGTAATTACTCTGGCCAATCACATAGGACACAGACAATACATTGAACCAATCAAAACTCGAAGTAATTACATGTGGCTGACGCAAAGCGCGGGAAAATGCATGCGAGCGCGTCACAATTGGCTTTGGTTTTACTTCTGATTGGATGAAAAGGTGGCGCGAATCTTTTAAGCCAATCGCACCGTGTAGCAAGTGCAAAACCAATTACTTTTCGACACTCAAATGAAAACCGCTCTAGTAATCAAAAGCGGGAGATCATTTCATTCCGTGCAGGTGTTAAGATGCAAGCAAATTTTTAAAATTGTCGACTTGCACAAAGAAGAAGCTTTATTTGTGAGCATGACAGTGATTTAATCAAACTTTTCACGTAGATTCTTTTTTACATCATTTCCATTATAAATTATGAAAAGTATTACAATTACTAAAATTTTCAAATTAATCACCATAAATATTTGTACACCCTCCACTCAGGGTGTGTATAAGAAATAATTCTTCTTTTACGACAATTCATCATTTGACTCGGCAATAAGCCCCAAGTTGACTCCAACGACGCCAGCATCTGCCTCGTGAGTTGCTTCGCTGTAGTCGATCGTCATTATGCTGGAGAACTCGCCCTCGTCGCTGTTCGTCGACAAAGACGTTTTTCCGACTTTCTCCGAGGAGCCGACGATAGACCGGTCGTTCGGTTGTTTGGACTCTGACTCGCCTGGATCGACTGGCTCGTTTAAAACGGACTTTTTATCAGAGACGAGGTTCGACAAAGTAAGTTTTGATTCGAGAGAAGAAGACTTCTTCGCCAGTCGTTTGGCTGGTTCAACGAGTTCCTCGATAGCGCGTCCGACAACTTCGGGCTTCTCTATGTCGCTCTGTGCTTCGTCTTCAGGGGACCCGGCAATTTCTTTTTCAGGAGCCAAATCTGCCTTGCTGAGCTTCAATTGCTGGGGTGAAAGAAGCTTCTTCATTCGTTGGGCAAGTTTCTTTGTGGAATCTTTTTCACCTATTCCGACAAAACGAGAATTCCAAGGCGAAGAAGCACGCTTATTGGATGCCTCTTTGACTACTTCCGCTTTAGCATCGTCTTTAATGCCTTTTTGATTCAAAACAGGCTCGTCAGACTGGATTTTTGAGAGGGCTGCGTCTTCGAATGTAACGTCTTCAGCTAAATCAGCCATGTCGTCTTCAAAGACTGCGTTTTCAATGAGTCGGCGTTCTTTAACCAAGGCTGACTGGGTGGCAGCGTCTGTGGTTATGGGACTTGCTGAGGTTTGGCCACTGGAAGTGGTAGTTGCTCTTGTCTTGGGATTAGCTTTTGAATTGGGCAAAGGCGTTTTTGTAGGGGACCTGGGAGTAATGCCAAGTGGTTTTGAAGGGGACCTCGGAGTGATGCTAGGTCCCGACTCAGCGCCTGGAAACGTACTGGGATAAAGGCCAGGAGGTAGAAGGTAATGCGGCGGAGGACAAAACTTGACTCTGAATTCGATGGAATGTGTCAAAAAATCCAACATTTCTTGTTCATCGAAGTGTTCTAAACATTCAAGTAGAAGTTCGCGAAGTCCTTTCCTTTGCTCAGGCGTGAATTCCTCATCTTCCATAACTCCTGTAGAAAAAAGTGCCCAGAATATAACCTTTTTTTCACAAAAACTTATTAACTGAACTGCTCTACCTGCTATCACACACATACAACGTTTTATAAGCCATTATGTAATACAGAAAATAACTTAATAGTTTTATCTCTTTAATTAGGTATCAACTTAGAGAAAGCTCATTAAATTACGAGCGTGAAACTATTTTATTGAAAAGCTCTGTTAAAATTTATCCGAATGTACTAAGGGATTTTAAAAAACCTTTCCTTTTGCCAGATATAACCTACAAGATTTCCTGTAAATAATATATAATCAGTCATTTGAACGGTCATTGATGCATCTAGCAACTATATCGGAGATGCATGCACAGTTATTGGCAATGCTTTGTAACACAAAAGCTAACTTGCCTCCCCAACCCCCCACCCCCACCCCCCAAATAATGGTGTGTTTGCTATGAGGCTCCTTTAAGGGAAAACCATTAATTTCACACGCACAAAGCGCATACTTCAAAGGAAAAAAGAAACAACCGTGGGTGTGTTATCTGTATGCCTTCTCCACCCGGTCACACAAACATGGTCTCTCATTTGCAACCCCTACAGCCCTTCTACAGGTGGCGACAAATGAACAAAAGACTAAAATGTCCTTATATGTTGTTTTTGTACAAGATGTACAAGCTTCATGTATCCCAAATATTTCAGTTTAACCTTACTCCAAGCTAAAAATTTGTATCACCCCTACCAGGTGAATCCCTTAGAAGTACACTTCTTATGAGCTTTTTGCCAAAACTAAAAGGCGTTGAAATTTTTACTTGCATCAACCTAGTAGCGTCCCAAGAGTATTCCCTTTTCTCTGATTCCAAGAAAAAAGTGCTGGGGACAAGGTTGCACCTAGTAGTCTGCTACACTGCCGTTTTTAGTGTCGTCACGCAACGTTCCGTGGAGGAGCGTTGCGTGACGACACTAAAAACCTCTGTGTAGCAGACTAGGTTGCACTTGCATTGAATCTGTGGCAAAAATTCATTTTTCTAGCTCATTAAGCTAAACTGAGCCTAAAGAAGGCGCATATATGCAGTCCGCAGTCTGAAACTAATTCGCTAAAAATCTGCTTCACCTTGACTCGCAAGCCACCCTTGTATTTCGAGAATGAACTGCTAAGAATCCTCCTCTCTGTGCGACATTACGTCGCGCTCGTTATTGACATATAGAAACAAACAACATCAAAAAGTTAATTATGCTTACCGTTGCTATAGGACACCTTTTTACTGGCAGGTCGAAGGGGAGGAAACGGAGCGAAACAGATCTTTAACCTCAGCTCTAAAGACTCTTTCAACACCTTCAGAATGTCTTCATCTTTGAACTCTTCCAACGCAATCTTTATTACCTCACGAATGTGGATCCTCTCCTGTTTGGACAAGCCTCCTTCTTGACCTGTAATGCCAAAAAATACTCTTAAGTTCCAGCTAAAAATAACGCACGGTGGGAGGGAAGGGGAAGGTGAGGGGGGAGTGGGGGGGGCGAGATTTCGGACTTCGGACGTGCTTTCCGCCCTCATATTCGATCTTGGAATAAAAGAAAACGGGAAATGATTTTAACAGTTATGTGAAAATATTTATTCTCATTGTCGCCCACAGTATTTTTTCTTTTCAAACTAACCTTAGACAGGAACCGGCTCCCGCCTTAGACTGAGAGAAACTTAAAGAAAGAACTAGTGAAGAACTTTTTTGCCTCAGAATATTCGTTTGCTTGCACAAGATACGACTAGTGTTGTACAACACGTGGTCAACTGACTTTTTCGCGAATAAAAATTTAGAATGTAGGTAGGTAAATACAACAAAAATCTTAATTTTAATTGCTTTTGATGCATTTACTAAACATTATTGCAGAAAAATTCTACACCAAACCAAAGCGAGCGATAATAATCTTGCGGCAAGGAAACTTGACCGGTACAAGACAACGCACTGTACAGACTCGGGAGTCCATGAGTTGACAGTATACGAAACTTGTTTCTACAGCTTTTTGGAGGGGTTAAACATATACGTTAAAGGCTAAAACAATAGTTTTTATCTCGCTAAAACCAAAGAAAATATCTTAACGCGTTGACGCAAGTTGAAGTTAGATATTGCCACAAGACCCCAAGTTGCTACTTGTAACAAGTCTTCCTATCGCCTTTACAAAGGGAATAACCAAAGATTTACTCACCTTTCTTTCTTTTAGGTAAGCCAGCATTTTGTTCAGCCGTCATCAAGAGGAACAAACCAACAAAAGAAAGAAAACTCGAAATACGGAACATGTTGTTTCACAGATGGAAGTCGTTTCACGCAAGACTCAAAAGGAAAACAACGTGGTCTCGTGTCGTTGCCGCCTTTTATATAGGTTTTTGTTGTGCGATTGCATTGGTCGACTGAAAAGCATGCGCCTATTTGTCACGCCGGAATTTTTTACATGTGATGAATAGTCTAATCGTTTATTTATTATTTTTTTACACTTTTGGCGTAAAATGTCTTCACACAATTTTGGCAAAAAACGTGCGTTTTTACGTCTCATTTTAATTTTTGAAATTTCACACCCACACACACTCACACAAAAAAAATTCTCAAGCTCTCAAGTTCTCAAGCTCAAGCAAGCTCTCCCTGGAGCCCTAGGAGAGCTTGCTCGATCGCAGGCTAGAAATGCAATGAAAGCAAAATTTTCTGCTCTAAATAAAAAGTAACAATTGGGAAGTGTTGGCTAACAATAAATTTTAAAACTATTTTAAATGGTGAATGACACCGAATATCCATATTTCATCAAAAACACTTTTTTTCCTTTTAGCTAGCCTGCGATCATCTCTCCCTTTACCGTCTGAAATCTGTTTTATTTTTCCCTCTCGAGCCAAAGAGGCAAAAAAAAAAACCCGGATGCAAGGCAAACAGGTCACTTTTCGGAAATTCCAACCGAAAATTGACGAGTACGTTTTGAGGTAGTCCATTCATTCCGGTTGGTAAGAACCAAATGGAATGTTGCTTACCATTAACCGGTTCCTTCTCGGTTCCAGACTCACGCTACACAAATTCGCCCTGTTTTTGGATTCAAACCCTAACGGATGTGGCGTTTCTACGGTAAACTGGTAAATCGCTAACAATTATGCTTTCGACACCCCAACAACCCCCACCGGATTTTTCTGTCAAATGGTAAGCACCCCAGGCTACCTTTTAGCTAGCCTGCGTGGCAGGCGTTTGAAAGGGAAGGGAAAGGAAGTTTTAGGTGCGAGAGAAACGCGAGGGGCGCGCGAGGAGGGAGGGAGGGAAACGCCTGCCAGGAGACCATTGTTTTTCTCGTTTTTAACATCCACCAGGCAAATGTTAAAATCCTGATTGATCCGTCTTCAAAACACGTCAATCACAGCCTTAATACCTTAATCCGATTGGCTGAAATCATCATCACGCTACTGAGTAATCTTTCAGTAATCATTTAAAAATATGTTGTTAGTGAGGCGTGATGAGATTTCTGTATGGAATTCATCGTTTTAGAACGATTAGAAACTAAAGGCATCTATTTCAGCTTGAAAGGAGAATAGAAGAAAACAGTTAAAAGACTCGTATGAAGGAAAAGACCTGTCAGCTAGATGAGTTGTGCTGACTGGTTTTGAGAAGCCTTGTCTCCCAACGACCTTGTTTTACTCACTAGAAGAAAGAAAGGAAAAATCATGCTGCCTGTGTGCTTGTTATCTGCTGTTTGACCTCAAACGCCTACCACGCAAGCTACGCTTTATCAACGACCAGATTGTTGAAGACAAAGCGATCTATAATCCTTAGCGATTTTTGATTTGAAGACTTCTCCTTGCTGGTTATAGACGTTATAAAGCCGTCAGGAACTTACTTTAATAATAATATTGATTGCAGAATTAGCCTCATTGGAGATCTTTGAAGTTCAGCTCTTCTTTCCCTGCTACCAGCATTCTTTTGTATGCTCCGCTGGATCCAGTTCGAGAGCCAGCAAAGTGTTTGTAATTAATTTCTCCGACAAACATTGCATGCAAGTTGGGAAGTCCAACACGATACCTCCAGCGAAAAAGTAATAGATTTATGCTGGATTTTATACAACAAGCCACGTATGGTTGCGACTTTCTTCCTTCAACGGACGACCGCATTTATACTTTTTTTAAATAGTACCTTCACTTCAGATTTCTTGTTTTGGGAAAACAAAAGAAAAACAGTAGGCGAAATACGACTTAAATAAGCGAATCGCGGCCAGACTTATTTGACAGCTAGTCATTCACAGTTGCGTTGTTTGCATACATAATTAGTAGACGGGATGGCGAAAACAACGGTTTCCTAGCCTGCGTAGCATGGCGGTTTTGTCCAGCCGGGCGCAGGAGCGGCGTAGCCGCGAAATTCGCGCGCCAAGCGCGCGAGAACGAGCGGCGAAGCCGCGAGAAAATCAGTTGCTTCCGCCCCAATCTCCTCGCGGTTTCTCTGCCCTCGCCCGCCTTTATTACTTAGCGCGCCCAACCAAAACCGCCATGCTACGCAGGCTAATGGTTTCCTGGCAGGCGTTTCCCTCCCCCTCCCTCCTCGCGCGCCCCTCGCGTTTCCCTCGCGCCCAAAACCCCCTTTCCCTTCCCTTTCAAACGCCTGCCACGCAGGCACCTTTTAGCGGAATGGGCCTATTTGCCTCACCGGGAAACTGGGGAGAGGATCGGGGACGGGGACATATCGATTTTTTCCAACAACCAAACACAAACGAAATGGCCGCCACGGTGAAGAAAGACGGTATTCGTAAGAGACGATTTGCACAAATTTCTACCAAGCATGCTCTCTCTACACCCTACAGTCTTCAATGGTAAGATATATTATACGTTTACTAACATTACTGATTTCTTGATTGACAAAATAAACTTACTGTTTGAGATCCCACTCAGCTTGTATATCGGACCACCGACTGGGGTTAAGTGGAGATTTCTCATTCTTAAAAGAGAAATTGCCTCGTAAACTAATTTAAAAGATAAAAAAAAGTCCCTTAAAGTATAGGGTTTGCAAGCATTATTCAGAAATCCTAGTCGGTACACTTCGATTTAAGTAGGCAAGGCTGCTCATTTTTTATACTCTGATCTGCATGCAAGATTATCAGCTTAGTTTTTTTCATTCTAACTTAGCAAGCACCCACATTTTAAGGCTTTAGTAAGGCATTTTCTGATAGGTTCAAGGAAAAAAAAAGCTAAGTAAAATGAAATAAAGTAAAGAAAGCTCATCTGGGATAAATTTCACAAGTTCTAATCAAATTACTCTCTTCTCATAACCTGGTTGCTTGAAAATTGTTAAAAAATTTAAGAGAATATAGAACTCAATCACTGTAGAGGTGAAACAATTGACTGATCAGGATGCTCAAGGGGGTACTTCTAGTTACCATGGATTTATACAGCTTGTTTGTTGAATATCAATTTATTTCAAGTTATTTGATCAATTTGGTAGGGGAATTAGTGATTTTTTATCCGGGCAATATTTGATTATAGATTTTTATAAAATTTATTCCACCAATATGATAAAAAATTAACGTGTACTCAAGCAGCCTCAGTGGCTGCTGGCACCTAATTTTTGCTCTTGGGCAACAAGAAAAAGCACGGGACTCCCTTCAATTTTTCATAGAGCGCATCCTTGAAAAATATGTTACTTTTGCTAACTTTATTTTGTATGTTTTTTTAAAGGACATTTAAATAATAGGCAATCAAATATTTTGTTATGTTGTATGATCAGTTGACATTTCATAAATTTTATTATTATAAATTTCAGTTGACTGGTGGCATAGTTTGACAAATGGGTGCGTTGCTGAGGAATCTGGTTGTAATTTGAATGAATTTCACTACTTGTGACACATCATTACTGAATAGGAACAGGCCAGTTCTTCTAATGAAATATTGCCATATGAAAACAACGAAAAGTCATTCTCAGTACGATTTATATCCATTAAAGTTAAACTGAACTTGACTTGTATTCAGCATATTATTTGTGGCAGATTGATGACAAAGTTTCAAATTGAAAATGTGACTTGGATGTGTGGTTCAAATTTATCCCTGTTTTACTTTATTATTTCCATGCACACATGTTCATGCTGCATACGTGATGGTGTATGATAAAACAAAGAAAAATAAAAAAAAACTTAAATTGAACTGCAAAACATCCCAACCAAGTCACTTTTCACTTCTAATATTTCTGAACTGTGAAGAAATTCTCTAAAGCCATTAAAAATGGAGCTTGATACAAAAACTTTGTGGTGCTTGCTTTGAGAGTCATAAACTGCAACTTTTATTCATATATTCCCATCCAAGTCATTTTCACTAGAATTACAGTATAGACATGTGGAACCCTGCTAATATGACACAATTCTTGGGGCATGGGGCATGAAATTTATAGTTTGGTCATATCAATGGCATTGATACTAAGCTTTTCTGAAGTCTAGTATTTGATTGCAAACATTAATTTGATCTTGCAGTTCTCAATTTCAGTGTGCCTGGATATGACGCTATGGATCATTTGAATGCTCTTTTTTCAGATTTTCATCTTTTGTTGACATTCATCAAAAAGACCTTTGATAAATACAGTTGAACTTCCATTAAGCAACCACCCTTGGGGTACGAGCAAAAGAGGCTGGCTGCTCAACAGAGGAATATCATAATTGAGCATAATTTTTGCATAAACACCGCTTTACTTTGAAACAAAAATGTGACGGGAGAAGCATTACTGGTCCACAGTCTGTTGTCACCTTCTCTCTTGGACTTTATTTTCCTTAATCATATTCTTAAATTAAATCCAAACCAAGTGTATCAAGCTTAATAGAGGTGAAAACAATGGAATATAAACTCTTCTTAGAAGGGCCAAAAGGTGGCCACAGCCGCTTAATAGAGGTTTAATTCCCCATTCTTTGCTGCATTTATTTTGGGGCGTTGATTACTGGCCACTTAATAGAGGGTGGCTGCTTAATGAAGGGTCAACTGTAGCTGTCTTGATTAACTTCATTAGGCATTTTAGGAAACAAATTAACATGGTAAAATTGTGTAGGAAAGATCAACAGGAGAGTCCGAATGGTAGCTGTTAGGTGTGGTATACATGTGTTATGAGTGGTCTGGAAAGACTAGGAATGGCTAGGTTTTGATGGTTTAGAAAAAAAAAAAATAGTCCCAGTAGAGGACATGTGCGTACTAGTTATGAATAGGCTGTTCTCCAGTAGCCATAAAAAACAGCGCTTTTATTCAGCAGAGCAGTTTATTTTGTGACTGATCTTTATTATTAATGTAACTTAAATTGTTTTATACAGGCCAATGATGACACACAATGGTGGCAACAGACTGATATGTGATGAGATTGTAAGGTATGGATAATTAGAGGCAACTCTAATTGCAATCAAATTCTTGTAAATCTAAAACTGTCAACCCAACACACAGCATTTTGTGATGATACAAAGAACGGCTGCATGGGAAATTATCCCAACATTTTACATGTATATCATTTAATAATGGGTTAAACAGACTGAGGGACTGGCTGGCTTAACCTGTTGTTTTGAAAATGAGATAGACCTTGATTTTCCAAGAGTTTTTTTCTAAAAACCCATTACTGCCAATGCCTACATCCTGCTTGAAAGTTCTGATGGATAGTGGAATTCTCATTATAACTTGACTGGTGTGACAAGCCAGTTCTGACTAACATGGTGTTGAATCCTGGGGGAGTACTCAACAAATTTTTATACAGGGAGGTTCCGCTTCTAGGTCCAACTCCTTGTATTGTTGTTGTATCCTTTTATGAATAATACCATGCCTAGTTTAGAACTTTGCATCCCTTTGAACTGCTATAAATGCAATGTCCTTTAGTTATGAACAAATCACAATGAATGTTTCTCAATGTTTTCACAACCATAGAATGCATCTTTCTATACAGACCAAAATGACAGATTAATTTCCCTACCATTTCGTATACCGTATTTCCTCGAATAATAGCCGGGGGCGATTATTGATTTTTCGCATCAAAAAAGAGTGATTATTCCTGGGAAGGCGATTATTCGAGGGAGGTAATTATTTCAAATATTTCTCACCGGTATTTCTGCCCTAAATATTTTGTTGTATTTTCCCATTAAATCAAAAAATTATCACTTCAAATAAACTGAACATGGGCTTTTAGTGTTCCAAATTTGGTTCCTTGATTAATTTTCAGTGCTTGAATCATCACTGATCAGTTTTGCTGGATCAGATTCCACTTCAACCTGACAGGGAGGGGATAAAAGAAAGAGAAGATGGCAAGAGGGGAGGGAGGGGGTGATTATTCGGGGGAGGCGATTATTTTATATATTTCCATCAAAGGGGGGCGATTGTTCAAGGCAGGCAGTTAATCAAGTGATGGCTATTATTCGAGGAAATACGGTGCTTCAACTAGTATAATCTCTACCATTTCATATATATCTGAGGCTTGAAAAAGGTACCTCTTTTGGGCTGAGCCTCGCCGTATAGGCCATTGTAGGAAGCACACCCTGGGTGTTGAATGCTACACTTTGATTGAATTGTGCTTTGTCTAGCTGGTGATGATAAAGAGGATAAAATGACAGGATATTATTATTTCTTTTTTCAGAACCCTAGAGCCTCTTCAGTTTAAGCAGCTTGCCACTAGAATGCCGACAGCTGTGGCTGGAGAAAATGAGGAAACAGCAGCTAGAAGATTGGAGGAACAGAAAGAAAGAGCAAAGAAACTAGAGCAACGATCTACACTTGAAATTGGGCTCAATCAAGTAATGAGAGCATTAGAAAAAGGGAGTCTCAGATTAGTGCTGGTAAGTTTGTCTTTTCAAAGCAAACAATATTGAAGTTGTGACCACATGGGCACTTTCCACAAAAGTGTATGTCACTTGAAAATTGCTATATAGTCATGTCAATAATCAGGGATATCACTAAGATTTCAAGTCGCCAGTTAAATACAACGACTAGGCAGGGAGTCAAATAGCTGAGGATTTCTTTTGGTTCTATTATTGTTCTATTTTCTCGTCAAAGTAGCCGGGGACCACATTCATAATAGCCGGCAGAAATCGCCAGCCTCTTAATTACAGCCCTGGATAATATCTATAACTTAAAGTGCTACAACTCTGAGGCGTCATACTTTCATTGTCTCACAAGTTTATCTGTACAAAGATTCTTAAGCACTTAAAGAAGCTGTGTCACGGCTGGCTAGTTCATCCTCTTAAAAATGCCAATTCACTTCCTGATTTGCTATGGAACTACTTGAGAAATTACTTCCTAATGACAAAAATATCACAGCTTATGTCAATCAAATATGTCTCCAAGCATTATATCAAACATGTAAATAACAAGCAAGAATTTGAAAATTCTGTTAGTCTTCAGCAAGTTTTCAAACATCACAATTGCAGTATGTTTCAATTTTCACTGAATGTTTTTAGTGGTTATTTTCATGTTTCAGTCACCCAGTTTGGTGGCGGTTCCTACTGTTTGAATTAATGTTTTTGATAAATAATTTATCAAAAACATTAATTCAAACTGTAGAAACCCCCACCAAACTGGTGGGACTGGAACCTTACAATTAATTACTTGTAAAATATGTAACTATTACATCTGTTTATAAGAACAGCATTTGGTTTTTGATTTGCAATTCACCCTATGTGTGCACTTCAATAATGAGCATGGTCTTTTAAGCCAACATTGCCCCGTGTCTATCTAGCTTGCTGGCTCATCCTCAGTGTAAGAACCTGTAAAACTCATGAGTGACGTAAAGCAAAGGAAACAAAGAATAGAAACTAGGAAAGCAAAAGGTGTTAAACAAAGAAAAAGTTCTTACAGGTTCTTACACAGAGGTAAACCCAGGTTGATGGATCAATGGAGCCCACTACAAACATTACCATTAAGCCAGCATGACCCCATGCATGTCTATCTAGGTTGATGGATCAATGAAGCCTACTACAAAGTTACTGTTAATTCATTTGAAGCCAACATTATCCCATGTCTATCTATGTTGATGGATCGATGAAGCCTACTACAAAGTTACTGTTAATTCATTTGAAGCCAACATTATCCCATGTCACTCTATCTATGTTGGTGGATCAATGAAGCCTACTACAAAATTACCATTAATTCATTTGAAGCCAACATTATCCCATGTCTATCTATGTTGATGGATCAATGAAGCCTACTACAAAATTACCATTAATTCATTTGAAGCCAACATTATCCCATGTCACTCTATCTATGTTGGTGGATCAATGAAGCCTACTACAAAATTACCATTAATTCATTTGAAGCCAACATTATCCCATGTCTATCTAGGTTGATGGATCAATTAAGCCTAATACACTGTTAGAGCACCTACTTGTACTGTGTGTAACGCGCAATACTCCTGGCTGTGCACTTGTTGGCATGGGATTGTCTGCAATTCCAAAGTTATTAGGGGTCCGTAGAGTTGCAGCCTTTGGATTCAAGGTAAACTTGCTCATTGTTCTCTAAAATTTTTTTGAAGACTCTGAACACAGGACTCAGATAGTGAAATACAGTTGTATTTTAGTATTTTTTTTAAAGTGGAAACTCTCCTTATGGACACTCTTGTAAGCAGACAGCTCTCCTAACAGCTCATAATTTATCATAACCCTGGCTCATAATCCTGTTTTTCTCAACTCCCATTCAAACTCTGTATTAATTTTTTACATTCCTGTAAGCAGCCAGCTCCAGTTACAGACACCTTTTTCACATCCTGAGGGAGTCCGCTCACAAGAGCTTCCACTCTATTACATTTTTGGGAACAAAATTCTATACTATTACAGACCATTCACTGAGACCTCTTCAGCAGTCCTTGATACTTTTATTTGGCTTTTGTTCAGTGTCCATTTTTATAAAATGATATTATTATTATTTTACCTTATGGGGGGTCACTTCTAGTGATAAGAAGGAAAACGGTAGTACAGTAATTTGTTTTATTGGAATTTGTTTTAAATAACAACTTACAAGTAAATACGGGTACCTTTTCTAATGCTATGGTACAAGCTACATACAGCTTTGGGCAAGTTATTGAACGTAAATCTCTTGGTTATCAGATGTGAATATTATTGAACGTGTTCAGAAATAAAATAATGCAAAGAAGAAAATGACAGTTTAAGAAGCCACTTATTTGAAAAGAATGCCTGAAAAAATTCAGGCTTGCTGGCATGCAAACTCTGACCTCTGCAATACCATTGCAGCGCTCTAATCAATATCAGCTAGCAAGCCAACTGGGAGCTGGTCATTTAACTGGTTTGTTTCCTATAGTGCACCTTATTTGCCCCCCAAAATTTTGCATAACCTTTGTTTTTCATTTCTCCTGGGTGTTACAGCTGTCCCAAGAGAAATTGAAAACAATGCTTATGGATGCTTATGCAAAATTTTGAGGGGCAAATAAGGTGTATATAGGAAATCTGGAAGTGGCATATACCTAGGAAAGATGAAGATGAAATGATGAATATACATGCAGAGCACTGCATGGCAGTATCACGGAGTTCAGGGCTCAAATCCCAGCAAGCATGAAGTTTTTCAGGTTTTCTTTTGGCAGCTAGACAGATTGCATATTTAACTGTGATGATCTTCTTGGCATTTATTTCATTCCACAGTTCCAATATATGAAATTCATATATTCATGGTTTGGACATGTTCAGCATCACATATATATGGGAGGTGATAAGTGAGGATTCTGACAATTTTATGTTATTTTCAGCTCACTGATAAACCTACATTGTTTGATGAGCTGGTTCATTTTATCAAATTTAGAATTCCGCCGCTCCATGTACCTTGGTTGCAACCCAGTAATGATGCAAGTGATCAATCGGAAGGGGCTTTTCATGAAGTTGATTCTGAGGATGAAAATTTGCCTGGTATTGAGAAAATGCGTGAAAAACCAAGAAAAAAAGTTAGAAAACTAATAAAGAATGCAGAAGAACTGAATACACAACCTTCAGTGATCAGAAATGTTGCGGTTGACACGGAAAGACTCGCAGAGAACTCAGGGATTGCATTAGAGTACACAGAAAACCCAAAAGCGAATACTCCAGTAGGATTAGAAAACACAGGACAACCAGGAAAAGAACAGCTACCTAACGAGGAACTAAAGGAAGTTCGTGGTACCATTGATAATCCTACTGCCGGTTTCAAAAGGGATAGTACTGTGCCCGAGAATGAAAGCACAGCGAAGAAAAAGAGAAGAAGAAGAAACAGAAAAAACAAGGGGAAAAAACAGACAAGCGAGGCACCAATGCAACTGGTGTATCTTAAACCCTGTATTAAAAGTTTTGACACTACACCCAAAGACAAAGGAGACCAGACAAAGTAAAATAAAAAATATATATTTATTATTTATTCTGTTGATGTAACAAGTTACTGGGTTTAATTGGCACAATAACAAAATCATTAATTATCTTGGCCATAGGGTAGAGTTAAATGTAAAATATCATTTCTTAAGCAGAATAATTAAAGACTTTAAAAGTGAACTGTCGGTCATCATTGTAGCTGTTTTAAAAGAAAGACGTGCGTGCTGTTTGCAGGGACAATTTTTTGTGGTCGTGTGGCCATTATTTCATTTGTTTCAAACTCATTATCATACTACATTACCATACGCACAACAAAAGAAAATAAAATTTAAACCAAGGATAAAATTGAACCACAACGTATGAAACATTTGGGAAAATGGGAAATATCTCTCTCTATCCTTGTTCCAGTGCTATGTGCTGTATCGTATTTTGAAGCACATTTTTGGAAATTAATGAGCGTGACTTGGCTTGTAAACTTTACATACCGTATTAACTCGAAAAAGTGCTGCAACGCTTTTCAAGCCTTAAATGCGGCGCTGATTCGAGGGCGGTGTTTATTTGAAAGTCGGACGCGGCATTATTATTTTCCGTTTTAACAGAATCAACGTCTCAATGCGGAGCCTATTGGAGTAAATATGGTAACTTCAAAAAAGTTATTAGAAGCCATGTCAGTGGCATACATAACGTGCTTCTTTTGTAGCACTGAAATCTAGCCAAAGTTCATTGGTTGACACGCTTTGATGAGGCATTTGGGTTGGTTGCCATGTATACCATGCCTCTGGTATCGCATCCAGACTGAAACGTTCAGGCTAAAGTTGCTTTTCCTTGTCCAGTGGAATTTTGACCAAAATCTCCTCCACGCGATTTAATGAATGTATCATATCTGAAAAACAAAATAACATTGTGGTGACCGTAAGTTCTAATGTAACAGTAACGCCCACAAAATTTCCTCTCTGAAATCACCATCACAGACCAAAGTCTAGAGTAATCCTCCTAGAACCTTCAAGGCCATTTCACCACCCCCTGTGCTTGTTTTTCCTCTTCACTTCTCATGGCACCGTTCCCACTATCTTCCCTGCCAGTAAAGGCTCCGAATAGCAGAGTAAAGAGGCCTCTGCTAGCAGGGAACCACTGTCCAACACTCTTAACAAACCATGGCATCCAGGTTTTGATCGCCTAAAGTAGTCTCTTTTGTAGCCTCCCACGCAAACGTTCTTAGGGGTTTCTTCTAAGAAAGTCCGCGTAGGAGGTTATCTTTTTTAGTTTCCTACTAATTTTCAAAATATAAAACGAGGGAAGCGCGTGCGCGTGCAGGCGTGTTTCTTTTTTTTTTCCCTCTCTCCTTTCCCATCGTCCTCTTCGTCAAGATGCCGTAAGAGTCTCCCATTATTGTTACGTTACAGCGCTCAAAAATAGTAAACTTTAAAAGCAACAGGACGGGAGAGGAAAGACGACGGCAAACCTTGTGTGACAAGCGTGAAAAACATTTTGTTTGAAAAAACCTTCCGCCAAACTTCACATTCCTTTAAACAGATCTTTTTGTAGAAGAGCAAAAAACATCAATGTTAAGAGAATTCCCGACAAAACAAGCGAGTAATAGCCCCGTCACGTTTGTCACACTCAAGCGTTTTGCCATCCTCTTCTTTCTGTCGTCCTGTTGAGTTAACTCGCTAATGATAAAAGACGACTGGGGAGGAGTCAGACCAAGGCTGCAATTGACACGATTACCACCAGCATTCCACCAGCCTAGCCTTCTTCGCGGCGTCAAAAGCAGTAGGGACGGGTAGGAGGTCGGGGAGACGGAATTTTGGAAGAGGGGATTGGGGAGAGGTTTATCTTTACCCTTCCGCGCTTTTCCCCTTCCCCACCCCTTACTTTTTGCGCCTGCCACGCAGGCTACCGCCGCCAGCCCACAACAAGCGCTTAAAGATGTTCAATACGTACGTTGCCTGGTATCTGCGCCTTTCGCTGTCGGACACGGAGGGGCCCATAGATGACGCAGCTTGTAGCAAATCAGACTGACTGATTTCTATTCCACCTGCTGGTTGTTGCTTTGATACTTCAGTGGCTGACATCTACGAGGAGAGAAACAAAGTTTAAACTTTTTATTCCTCTAATTCGTTGCAAAGGAATACTTGCTTTAAGGGGGTATCGTTAGGGAAGAGCAGAGCAATATATCAAAAAGTGCGATAAGAATAATGGATTGCCCGCCTTCGTTAAGATGGTGACCGGTCATTTCGCTAACGTCCTGTTCGCTAACGCGGTAAGTCGTTTCGTTAATGAGCCGGGTCAAACAAATTGCTGCTTGACGATTGACGAAACGACCGTAAACTGTTTAGTCAGTGACCCTTACAAAGTTCAGCACAGAAAGTGCGGACTGGAACTGTATGACTGATTAATGTTGAACTCAGTGCATCCTAATGAGGGATAATCACTCTCACTGAGATCTTGCTTTCAGTTACCACCATCATTTATTATAATCTATTCTTGTACCTTTTTATCACTCCCGTTCCGCTGTCGGAGATTTTCTTCGATAACCATAACCTAATAGAAAGGAATCAAATGTTAGCACCCTAGGCAACAAGAATTAAGACTATAGATTTCATTTTGACATGAATTTTTTCTTCGAAAGTTTGTGCAAGCGAGTAAAATGTCCTACTAGCCAACCCGGCAAAATTTACTGTATTGAACTTTCAAATATCAATGCTTGCCGAAAAAAACTTTGTGGAACTAGCCTGTTCAGCCGGCCATATGGTCATACAAACAGTTTTTTGTTCTTATAACGAAAACAGAAATATTCACCGATCATTTTCTATGTTTAGCCTGCGACAACAGCTGTCTCTCCTCGCTTTTTCCCGCTAGGGACGTTTAGCAAAACGTTCCTAGCGGCGAAAAGAGACGGCTGTTGTCGCCGGCTAAAGGATATTTCACTTACCTCGGAATACAGCTTTGTCAGTTCGTCTGATGAGACGTGTAAAGGACCTTTTACCAAGTTAGGAATGTAAACAATCTTCTCTTTTATATCTTTATTTTGTAAACTGTCATTTTCATCATCTCCTCTTTCACTGTCCTGGTTAAACAGGCCTTTATATAGTTGACTGTTGCTGGTGTTCCTGTGTATTGCCGCTAACTGGGCATTATACAACAGGGCTTTCAAGTCCGCTCCAGTAAAGTTTTCACACATGTCTGAAATATCAGCTAGCTTCGTGTCCTTGGCCAAGAGAAGAGATCTTGATAGGGCTCGTAGGATTTCAAGTCTCTCTGACTGTAAAATGAATAACTAGATTCAGCCCAAAGTTATTGAAAATATCCACTTTTTGAAACAATTGTCCCAATTGTCTTGTTATTGTACAAGCATAATCGCCTTCGGATTGAACTAGAAGTTTTCAATGTTATTCTAGAATACACACTTGAAACACAACCCAAAACAGCAAGGACAATATGAAACGATTCCTTCTACTAAGACTTAGCCTTTAACTGTTGAGGCGTAGGTAGTTTAATTTGAATCAGTTTAATATGAATATACAGTCGAAGCTCCCGTAAATAGTGGTCGGCAGCGGGTGGTGGTTGCTTACGATTGGAATTGCTGGAGGTCTTTAAGAGAAGAAGTCGGGACAGATCTACTTTACGGAGGGAATGTAATTATGCAATTTCTAGGTTACAATATATGTAAGAAAAAGGTTGTTCGTGAACGTTCTTCTCAAACACAAAGATCAGACTAGGCATTCCGCATTGTATGAAGGTAATGGCTTATAAGACGTTCATAAAAACAATGGAGAATTCTAAAACCATCATTCAAAAAGTAGTTCCGGTCGATTGCAAGAGGTCATCATTTACGACAGGTTAGAGCTATAAGGCTTTGACTGGGAAAATGTTGGTGACTTGGATGAGTGGTCGCTTATATTATGGGAGGTGGTCGCTTACGAGAGGTGGTGGGACATAAAGGCTCGATTGTAATGCCAAATCAGACGCGCAAACAGAAAACAGCAGGGCGTGTGTCATCTCCAGATCTCTTTACACGTATGAGGCAACCAGTATTAATTTGGTTCATACTGTCCCACTTACAAAATTACCTTTTCTGGTACACCACAGTACAAACACTTGTCCAGTCTTCCTGGTCTGAGAAGAGCAGGGTCTATCAAATCTGGACGACTCGTGGCAGCCAGTATATAGACTCCATCCAGTCCCTCAACTCCATCCAGCTGGGTCAAAAGTTGATTGACAACTCTGTCTGTTACCCCTGTGCTATCATGCCCACGGCGAGGTGCAAGGGAATCAAACTCATCAAAGAACAGAATACAGGGCTTTGCACTCTGGGCTCTGTATTTAATTTAAATTAAGATTGCTCTTAAAGAACATTCCAATACAAATGAACTTCATTAATATGGACACCAAAGGAACAGCTAGGGAAGGCGATTCAATAGCACACGTCCGAGATATTAAATTTTAACGTGACTCCTAGGCTTTCTATATTTGGTTTGGTTTTTTTTGTGCTCAAGACNGGTCTGAGAAGAGCAGGGTCTATCAAATCTGGACGACTCGTGGCAGCCAGTATATAGACTCCATCCAGTCCCTCAACTCCATCCAGCTGGGTCAAAAGTTGATTGACAACTCTGTCTGTTACCCCTGTGCTATCATGCCCACGGCGAGGTGCAAGGGAATCAAACTCATCAAAGAACAGAATACAGGGCTTTGCACTCTGGGCTCTGTATTTAATTTAAATTAAGATTGCTCTTAAAGAACATTCCAATACAAATGAACTTCATTAATATGGACACCAAAGGAACAGCTAGGGAAGGCGATTCAATAGCACACGTCCGAGATATTAAATTTTAACGTGACTCCTAGGCTTTCTATATTTGGTTTGGTTTTTTTTGTGCTCAAGACTCTTCTAGAAATTGCACGCCAATGGAGTCGTGAAAAATTTGCAATTTCGTCCGTGAAGCCTCGGAGTCATGTAAGAATTTTGATATGTCGAACGTGGGCTATTGGCCTCATTAAAGAGATGTCTGTATTATAGAGG